AAAAAATCGACGAGAAACCAAAAAACACATTTACGGTAGTATAGTGCAAAGCATTACACTTTACGGTTCGGAAGTATGGGACGTCACCAAAGCTAATAAAAACAAACTTATGACGACAGAAATGGATTATCTGAGACGAAGCTGCGGTAAATCGAAACTGGAGAGAGTTAGAAACGAACAAATACGAAACGAAATGAAAATGGAGCAAACTATCAATGATGATATAGAAAGAAAACAATCTGGTTCAGACATGTTAAAAGAAGTCATTTCTTTGCAATAATCATCTCAGTTTAGAAATAAGGCAAAGAATGGTTAGGTGCTAAGTTTGGTTCGTACTTTTGTATAGTGCAGAAGTGTGGACGCTAAAAATATCGACCATGAACAAAATTGAAGCATTGGAAATGTGGATTCATAGACGACTGCTGTAGATACCTCGGACAGCAAGGAAAACTAATGAAGAAGTACAAAGGAGCGTCAACAAAGATAGAGAACTGCCAAAGACTGTTAAACATCGAAAAATGTCTTATCTGGCATATATAGTAAGGGGAAGTCGATATAAAATATTACATCTGATCCTTAAAGGCAGTATAGATGGCCGTAGAGGTGTAGGAAGAAAATAACTTTCTTGGTTAAAAAACATTCGTGAATGGACTCGCAAAAGACCAAGAAGCCTTCGCAATGGTGATCGTCAACGTCGGATAATTCTGATATGGCACGCGAAGAAGAAGAAGAATAAAACGGTACTGAAACGGCTTACTTTTGGTAAGGTACAGCTGGTTCCTAAAAAAACTGATACGACTCTGAGGGCCGGTTGTTCGAACGCTAAAAAAAACTCAAATATTTAATTAAAATCAAATACGTCACATTTTGAGGTTATGTTGACTGATTTATTTAATTCAATTTTTTTATTTTGCATTTTAATTTAAAATAAATCATAATTAAACTCTGTCTGATGTTAATTTTATGTTTTTATTTACAAATCAATAATAATAATAGGCAATTTTTAATAATTTTGACAGCTGTTGTGACGTATTTGCTTGTAATTAAATATTTAACTTAATACTTGTGGTACACACACAATTGGATGATAGATAGGTAGATAAATAATTAATAAGACACTAGCAGATAAGTATATCAATATATTACTTGGAAAAGAAAACGTAAACATATTATTTTTCTATTCAATAATCTTATCTAAATTAAACTTAATATAATAGATAATATTTAAAATAAAATATGAAATGAGAAATTGAAAGGATATATGTATATATATATATATATATATATATATATATATATATATATATATATATATATATATATATATATATATATATATATATATATATATATATATATATATATATACAGATTGAACGAAATAAATTCGGAACATACGAAATATTATATATTTCGGCTCAATTCTGCTGTAGGTGGTTGGCCAACAAAAGGCTGTCAAATAATTATATTATAAAAATCTAATACTTCAGCGGGCTGCTGGATTCTGAACTAATTCAAGAACTCATTTCTAGGTGGCCAAACCACCTATCGCTTCCTAACGCGCTGGCCACTGTTCAATTTGTTGGTATATCTGGTGCGCCCACACACCATACTGCGCCGCAGTATTTGTTCGGTTCTCGACCATGTCAAATCAAACAATCATTTTAGCGTCTCTTACTTTGTGTATAACTAAGCGTAAAAAGGAACCTAAAATAAAACGTAGATTCTGGTGCAAAGAATCCAAGATTTTGGTGCAAAATAAATCTCGTCTGCCCCTGCACCCGATTTACTGGACTGCAATGCTAATTTTAATTCCCTTTTATAGGATGTTCTAAAATTGTTAATTTTTTTTCTTACATACTCTTCATTCGCATCTTTGTTTACTTCTTGGAACTTTAAAACTAGAATGTCCGTTGCCTGTTTTCGGGCGTTTCTATGGTGATACGTTTTACCTTTTATTCGCTATAAGCATTCTTGTTTTTTATATAATTTAAAAAACTCTCTTAAAAATTTCTCGCTAAATCAATCCATTTCGATTTTCTATAATATGATCAAAGCCCCTCTTTCGTTTATCGGAGATGGAGATTTTGAGCGGTGTTGCCAATATCATTCCACTAGGTGTTTCTAAAATAACTACAAACTTCTGAAATAACTACAAACCATTAAGTTTATTTTTGTTATTAGTCTGTTGTAGTAGATTGGTAAATACAATGAAACATATAGGCAAATATCCGATTAGTCAATATAAGGTTGAATGTTCGAATAATTAAACTTTGTGTACAAGGCAACTATCGAACACAGTGATTAATTAAATCTTGCCCAAGTACTTTCGATCAATAGATCATCTTCAGGGCATTTCGTCAGTTGTGGCCTACTCATGTCGGATAGGCCCCAACTGACGAAATGCCCCTGAAGATGATCTATTGATCGAAAGTACTTGGGCAAGATTTAATTAATCACTGTGTTTGATAGTTGCCTTGTATACTATCAAAGTTTAAATATCCGATTTATTTAAAGATACGAAAAAGATATAACTCTCAAAAAGATCCGCAAATCGGATTATTACACGGCGATTGGCAACATTGACTTCGAGCTGCGCTCTAGACTATGGTGCGTTCGAAAAAGGAGACGGATAGTTGAACGATATTTTATATAATGTCTAACACCGGGTATGGATTTATTTTTGTCCAAGTTTTATATTGGTCCACTATTTCAAATGCAGTTCAAACAGACATATATTAAATTGTATGATTCGTTTTAAATTCGTTCAATCTGTATATATCGGTATATATATATATATATATATATATATATATATATATATATATATATATATATATATATATATATATAGTAGAGGTAATGGATTTTAACAAGAGCTATGCGTCATGCCGATTTAGTACACAATTTACCTGTTATTTACAAGGTCACAGCTCTTGTCAAAATCCATTACCTTTACATTCAACCAACTTACACCTCTAAGTGTAATTGCACACACACCGTTTTTGGACGGCCAGCATAAAATCGGCCGATATTTTATTGGTAGCAGATGCTTGCAAACGCACCGGATTTTTACCGGTCAAACAATTAGGTCTTGGCTCCACTAACGAAATAAGGACATCATTATCAAGAAGATCAGTCAAATTGGTCGATAAAAAATCGATGTGTGTGCAATACTATATTTAGTCACGTACGCCAATACGTCCCGGTCGTGCCGGCGATGCAGTGGCAGTGAACGTCCGCTCACCGGCATTTTACCGACACCGATCAGCCAGCGGTCGGGCTGTGTGCAATGTCTCGTTAGTTCTCACATATGGTTCACTATTGGAATTTGGACGGCCGGTAAAAAATCGACCGTCCAAAATCGGTGTGTGTGCAATTAGCGTACTTAAACGGTTATCGGAATTCGCAGAAAACCTTTCGTTGTAGTAAAAGGTACGGTTAACTGCACTGGTGTTCTCTATAGTGTTTAACACTTTGCTAAATTTTAGATATAAATATCTGGAGTCATACATATATAAAGACCAAATAATTGGAAACAATTTAATTTGTTTATGTACGGTTTCCAACCATTTCTAAACTTTTTATCAAATATAATTAAATTATAATCGGCATTCCTAATGATCGTTAGGCTAATTTGCTTAATTTGTTTAAAATCATTGTAAGCGGTTATATTATATTTTACCTCTCAAGCACAACAGTTAGAAAGTTTCTGTCATATTGATCTATACTCAGTATATTGTAATGCAAACGTGTAGTTTCAAGCTAAAAACTGAATAGAGATTGTCAGAGATTCTCATGAAGATCTTACTATGACTGAGTATTACGAAGACAAAAATACAACTCGTCAACATTCTAGGAGCATTGACTTACCTGATGAAGAAACATTTAAAAATTCGCAATATTTTGTATTGAATGCGTGGAAACAATCAACATGCCAGTTTAGATACCTACTTAACTTGCCAAAATAAGAGGAGTAGCCTTTGGAAAGTGTTGAGAGAAAGGAGTAGTGTGGTTCACAAAAGAATTAAATTTTTGAGAGAATATACTAGACTTAAATCTATAAATGCAACATTCGTATACTTTGATAAGACATGGATATTAGCAAAGGTGGAATTAAAAGAATTTGGCAAGACGACAGCATAAAATCAATAAAACACACAGATAGCGAAGGCAAAGGACACATCATTCTTCATGCAGGAGGGAAAGAAGGCTTTATGGAAAACGCAGATTTGATTTTTTGTTCAAAATCAAAATCTGCTGATTACCATGAAAAGATGAATGCAGTTATGTTTGTTAAATGGCTTGAGAAGAAACTGTTACCTAATCTGAGTGATCCATCAGTTATAGTTTTAGATAATGCACCTTACCATTCGAAGATTTTGGAGAAACAACCAAAACAGTCGTGGAACGTACCAAGCATAAAAAATTGATTAGTTAAAAATAATATCAATTTTCCGGAATACGCCTTCAAATCAGAGTTACTGGAAATTTCGAAACGTAATGAAAAACCGACAGTTTATATAGTTGACCAATAAACAATAATATTTAAAATTCCATTAGATATTTTGCTCCTCATTTTATACAAATTAACTCTAACTGATAATACAGGCAAAAATATTCTAAACAAAGTAAGTAATTAAAAAGATTATAAAGAACTCCAGTGCAGTTTACCGTGCCTTTTACTACAACGAAAAGTTTTCTGCGAATTCCATTAATCTTATAGAAGTGTAAGTTGGTTGAATGTACTGCGTATTAGTTATGTTATAAATTAAAGCTAGAATATACATTATACCTATAATGATAATGAATCCTTAAAATGTTTCATTGAATATAAATATATAAATTGAAGAAGAAAATATAAGTTGCTTAATTGATATAAATAAAGTAGCAGTGAATTAAAAAAAAGTGGCTAACTTTGACTGTAATTAATCTAGGTGAATTTTTTTTAAATTCGTGTAAAAATACCAGTTTTTTAAATACCAAAGTGGATTTAGTCAATATTAACAAAGTTATTCAAATTATTTATAAGCCAAAAATGACTTTAGTAAAATGTTTTTGCAATGATAGAAATGACATTGATTTTTTTAAATATATTAAAACATAAGTCCTTTACTTTCATGTGAATCCCGCAGAATCACTGACTGAAAACTAATTGACAAACTGTCTTGAAATTGTTTATGCATTATAAGGACTACTTGACTTAACTTTTCATGCAATATTAAAACCCTAGGTTAATTTTTGCAAGAGTTATAACAAATTTGTGATTTTCAAAATTTTAGCTTTATTTTGCAATTTCCGAAACAATAAATGATCCGACAAAATTTCAAAAACTGACATTTTAAACCTTTGCCCATCTACTAAAAGATCAGTACTCTACAAGTACTCTACAAGTATTTTAAATAATATATTAAATTACACTAGTTTTACCTGTAGAGGTGAAAAACTGCCCTTTTTGATCCTTATTTGTAATGGGTATTTTTGTATTTCTAATGTGTTAGGTATATGATATCCAAAAAACCCATTTGCAACGTGATTGGGCCAGTGTCCCGAAAAAAACTTATTTTCCTGGACTATAAACATAGTAGTTATTTTATCTTTTTGCACTTTTTAAAAATCTTTATAACATTTTTAAATTATTTATGTCTTCCTTCAGCTCCTTATTTTTTATTTGCAATGTATCGTATAAGGAAATAGAAATATTCAACATATATACACCTGGAACAAAATGTCAAATTGTAACCGATTTGTACAGTTTTTGTACAATGCTAACCAACAACATAATATTGGTATCGAATTAACTAGTATATTTTGGTGACATACATACCTTACTTCGAAAATGCCATGGACTTTCGATGCTTCTGTCTAAGGTGAACATTTCTGAGCTCTTCGGAATGAAACCATTTACCACAACCAAGGCAACGTAAATTGAGATGGTCCAGTTTAATATGGTTAAGTAGATCCTCATCGCTTCTGAAGAATAAATTATTACAACTTGGACATTCAATTGTTAAATGTACGTATATGTCATGATTATTTAGTTTCTCATAGGATGAAAAAGATTTGTTACACAATTCACATGGGAAATGATGTTTGTATCTAATATGTTGCCGCATTTGCTCATCTGATTTGTAGAGTTTATCGCAATATGGACATTTCATTGCCAAATGTTCGATTCTATGGTGAGACTCCATTTCCTCAACAGATCTAAACGATTTATCACACAATTCGCACTGAACATCATGGATAAGTTTAACATGAGTCTGTAGCTCCTTATCAGATTTAAATAATCTATTACAATCTTTGCATTTTAAATGGTATTCGGTTTTATCACAAGTATTAGACATTTTAACTTGTACTACAGTTATGTCTCTATCAAAACTAAGGGAACTAATTATAATTACTGAAATTTATCGAAACAAACATAGATACTTTTTATCTTATCTTAATATCGACTGATTCAACTTAAAAAGTAAACGAGTACATACCTAACTATTTTTAATATGTCTTTAGTAAAAACGCAGCTAGTTAATGCTTTTTTTAAATCGATTTACTTTAACTATATATCAACAAATCAGAAATAAGCCAGTAATTTTTGGCCATACTTATTTAATATTTTTTTATAGTACATTCAATCAACTTACTCCTCTAAACGATTAATGGAATTCGCGGAAAACTTTTCGTTGTAGTAAAAGGCACTGGAGTTCTCCATAATCTTTTTAATTACTTACTTTGTTTAGAATATTTTAGTCAAAAAGCCAAATAAACAATTGATATAAATCTAGTAGGCTACTGTCATTTAGGTATTTAAAATAGAAAGAAAAATACCACCCTTACAGAGTTCAGTTGGTTCAGGAGTTAAATGAAGATGATCCTGATAGAAGGCAAGAATTATGTGAAATGATGATGGACAGAATGAATGCAGATTTGCAGTTCATAAACACAATAGATTTTTTCTGATGAAGCGACGTTTCATTTAAATGGAACGGTTGACAAACAGAGCTGTAGATATTGGATCAGAGAAAATCCCCACTGGGTGTGTGAGACTCATACGTTCAATACATATTTTGAACATTTAATTAATATTGTAAAGTACATTGAAAAATACATTCTAACTATTATGTGACATTATTATCTTCATTCAACCTAAAGTTTTGTGATAAAGACATTATCAAAGTTTTACTTTTAAAAAATCAATTTTCTCAGTTATGATTGCACCAAACTTAAAAAAGTTTATATTACTGAACAGAGTACTAAAATCCCGTTCTAACAAGGTGCTATACGACCCCCTTTGTTATTTAAAATTTTCGAGGGAGTGTTTATAATTCAAAGGAGGTGCTGGAGGCGGATATTATTTTCATACTGTAAATTGTAAATTTAAGAATAAAAATTGACCTGCTTCAGGTTTTTTTCACATCTTAATAACGCTAAAAATGAATTTATTCGATACATATTGACCGCATGGTATAATCAAACAATTATACACTACATAATTAATTTAAAAGATCAGTCAAAGAAATTGTTTGAAAACCGCCTTGTTAAACTAATTCTTAGTAACTGAGTTAAAATAAAGAATACTGTGGAAATTACTATATTTTTTGAAAACAGGTTGGTTAGTAGACTAATGCAAAAATATAATAAATATGTGGTTGTTATGAGAAGTAGCAAGGCCAACAGCATACTAAAAATGATAAAATGTGTTATCTAAGGAACTTTTTTTTGATCTACCATTAATTATTCACTAAATTTGTATAAATTAGTAGAATATTTATTTTACAGTCTTATTTATAAAGTGTTACATATAATAGCGCCCGATTCATTCCTAACCATGATAACATTCAATATTAATCAAATCGTAAAATAGATCAGACATTTAAGATAATTCTTCATAATTGGTGTATTGTATTTTGTAAATACTTTTTCAGCATGTATTAATAATATAAATAGAAGTACTTGTATAATTTCTAATATGCAGGGTGGTCCTTAAGTAATTGTACAAAAAGAAACCATAGATACTACACTATAAAATATTATGATTTAAGCCAAATTGTTTTTATAAAATGTTGATATTAAAAAAGATACAGAGTGTTAAAATGGAAATTTAAAATTTTATTTTTCGCCATAACTTTCATATTTGTCAACATTTATGTATAAAAATTTACAACTGGGTACCTACTATTGAATATCAGAAATTATAATTTGGAGCATACTTTGATGTTGCTGATAGAGGGCGCCACATATGCCACATATGTGGCATACAGTTACACTTAACTTTTTTGTTCTTCAAGTTACCATTATTTTTGATAAAAAATATTAAAGATACATTATTTTAACAAAAAAAAGGTATACTTATTAATATCTTCAAAACTCAACAGTTTTCAAGATAATCGCATTTTACTCCAGGCAACGAAAGAAAATCAAAGAAAAACATCAATTAATTTTGGTATAAAATTTTGTTAGTACACTAACAAAAGTAATGAGGAAATCGTTCAAAACTGTAGTAAAATTATAGTTACACTGAGAAACGAAGTATTCATTATAACTAATGTTTTCTTCTCACTATTATTCTTTTTTTACTATTATATTATACTTAATTATATTGTTATACTTTTTTAATGTATTAAAATATGTTTAACAGTATTATTCTTCTTTACTATTAAACAACACACATGGAACAACACTTCTTAATACGTAAATAAACGACAGATAAACTATTTAGAACATGGCGGATTGTCACAGAAATTTGGATTGCGAAAAAGCCCTTCGTTTCGCTTCTTATTGGGTGGTGTATTCTGTGGTCCGATCTACAATTTTCGTTTTTTTTCTCGATAAGGTTATATTTCACTACTGTTAGACGTTTATCATCTTATTACTTAGGCAGAAAATACTTTCTGCCACCTCAAATCGTAGGTAATCATATATTTGTGACCTTTCTACAACTAACAGCCGTTGTTCTTACGCGGGCTCCACACATGGGGGCAAACATTGGACCTAACAGCACTCGTCCAATGTGTGTACCGATAAAAACTGCGTTGGAGCCAATGTTGGCGCCAACGTTTTTATGACTTGCTCCAACGTTGGGAGTTTTCCGTAGATTGTCGGTTTTTGCGTACCTATCAAAGGGATTGGTGGCAATACTGGTATTGCCGTTGATGCCGACCACACATTGGCGCTACAACAGTGTTTCAATCGGCGTATGATTACGCCGGCTCCACACATGAGGCCAACGTTGGCCCCAACAACGCTCGTCCAATGTGTGTACCGACAAAACTGTGTTGGGGCCAATGTTGGCGCCATATATAGATCCATATATAGATGTTGCATTTTATAGGAGAATAAAGCTATAGTAAGCTTAAGTAGTATATTAGCTTATGTATCAGATGGCATGTTCCTCACATGGCCTCGTTCTTTAGAATGACAGTATTGGAGCCGTTGTTAATTTATGTTCGATTGTGGTAAAAGCAATCTGGTGTTCAATCAAATAACAGCTTTCTCTCAGTTAGGTTATGGAGAGGTTTGATAATCTTTCTCTTTAACTTCTTTATTTGCCTTTGGTATAAATGTTTTGGAAGGAGGCTACACTTAGTTCCTCTGCTCATTTTCGAAAATTTTCAAATTTGCACGTTTTTGGTACATCGTACAATCACTCTGGTTCGTCTGGTCCTTCGGAATCCTGGAATTACAATTTCTGGTTACAATATTATTGTGATTGTGTCCCATTCACATAATAAGCAGCATTTTTAGTTTAAATTTTATTACAGATAATTTGAGGAACATTTTGAATTATATTTGATGAAGATTCTTAAATCTTATTTAAAACGAAATTAAACTGAATTACTTTTTTTTTCAGGACGGAACTACTCCTCTAATATTAGCAGCAGCTAATGGACACTACGAGTGTGTAAAGGAATTGATAGAACAAGGAGCAGATCCAAGGGCTAAAAGAATAGTAAGGATTTTATTTTCTTCTTAATAGTAACTGTGTTGTATATCTAGTGCATTTAGCAATTTTACAACCAAAACTTATCTCCACGGTGTGCATATCCGTCCCTAATATCATCTACTTTTTAATCTATGTTAGATGCACAAATCTTCTTCTTCTTCTTTGTCAACTATTTTCCATCCACTCCTGTATGTAGGTCTCTCCCAATTGCTTCCATCTTTCTCTATCTTGCGCCAATCTAATCCACTGTTTGCCTGCCACTGCTCTTATATCATCTACCCATCTTTTTTGAGGTCTTCCCATGCTTCTTGTTGTCGTCCTTGGTCTCCATTCTAGAATTCTCCGTGTCCACCTGTTGTCGTTATATCGGGCTACGTGACCTGCCCAGCGCCATTTCATTTTTGTAATTTCTTCCACAATATCCCTAATCTTCTTTCTACTTCTTATCTCGGTGTTTCTAATCTTGTCTCTTAGTGATATTCCAAGCATGATTCGTTCCATTGCTCTTTGCGTTGTTTCTAATTTTTTGGCAGATTTTTTGGTAAGTGCTACTGTCTCCAAGCCGTAGGTACCTACAGGTAGTATGCATGTGTTATACACCTTTTTCTTTAAGTTTATAGGAATTGAGGTGTTTTTCAAGATATGTGCTAGTTTGCCGAAAGCGCCCCAAGCCAGTTGTGTTCTTCTTTTAATTTCAGCATCTTCATTTGGTTTTCCTAGTTTGATAACATGACCTAGATATACATATGTTCCACATTTTCTATGGTATGATTTTGTATTGTTATATTTGTCTGGTCTCGGCTCAGTATTTTTGTTTTGCTGTAATTCATTTTTAAGCCTACCGCTCCTGAAACTACATTTAATTGTTGTAACATATCATTTAGTTCTTGGATATTATCGGCTATTAAAACTATGTCATCTGCGAATCTCAACTGGTTTAAGTATGATCCGTCGACGTTGATACCCTTATTGTTCCATTCCAGTTTCTTAAAAATATCTTCTAGAGCAAGGGTAAATAGTTTGGGAGAGATGGTGTCTCCTTGTCTTACTCCCCGTTGTAGTCTTATGGGATTAGTTTTGTGCTTTCGTCCAGCTTTATATGCATGGTGGCATTTTCATATATGTTTTTAAATATGTTAATGTATCTTGAATCTATGCGTGCATTTTCTAGAGATTCAAGCACTGCCCATAATTCGATGGAATCGAATGCTTTATGGAAATCGACGAACGCCATATGAATTGGAACATTATACTCGGTGCATTTTTCTATCAGTGTTCTTACGGTGTGCAAGTGGTCTATGATATTAAAATGTTTTCTGAATCCAGCCTGCTCGATAGGTTGATAGAAATCGAGCTTATGTGTTGTTATGACTTTAGTTAGTAATTTATACAGATGTGATACCAAGGATATTGGTCGGTAATTCTCGATGTTTGCTTTGTTTCCTTTCTTGAATAGTAAAATGACCTCGGAGTTGTACCATTCTTGAGGAATCTTTCCTTCATCAATTACTTTATTAAATAAAACATTTAATACCTGTTCCATTTTTCTGCCACCAATTTTCAACATTTCAACTGTAATCTTATCCTCTCCCGGACATTTATTCGTTTTAAGTTGATTTAGGGCCATTCTTTTTTCATAGTCGGTTATGTCCGGTATTTCTCCTAAGCCGGTGTTAATTATTGTTCGTTGAGTACGTCGTTGTTGTGGTTGTGTATTTACCGAGTATACAAATACAGTAAAGAATCTATTCACTTCATCTAACCAATTGCCAACTTTAGTGGTATTATGTTTCAAATTTATAACCCAAGAGCAATTTAAGTAAACCCAGCCTGCGAGATGCCAAAAAATAAAAATAATAAGAAATAAAGAAATGATCTATTTGAAGGCTTCAAAAGGTACCTTGGAACGATATGTGAAATCAGATAAGACTCCAGAAAAACTCGTAATATCAATTGGCCGCCGACCTATTCTTCCTTTGTAATTAGAAAATGAGTTGGTTAAGTATGCTCTAACTATGGAGCAACAATATTTCGGGCGAAGAGCGCTTGATATAAAACGACTCTCCTTTCAACTTGCAATACGAAACTCAATACCACATCCATTTAGCGGAACCAAAATTTTAAGGCGGAGAGAAATGGTTGCGACTCTTTCTGAAAAGGCATCCGACGCTTTCGATGCATACTCCTCATTTCATGTCATCTGTTGGAGTAAAATTATTTACAGCTGATAATGTATCCAAATTCTTTGGCCTGTATAAACCAGAATATCTTAAGTTAACTAACCTTGCACAACGTATATTCAATGTGGACGAAACAGGCATTACAATTGTTCAGCACAAATATAGCAAAGTATTTCCTATAAGAGGGAAGAAGCAGGTTTAGTCACTTACTTCATCTGTCTCAAATGTGGATACCCGGCTATTCCAAATTAGGCCACCTTTTATTTTTAACATTAAATGTCTCAAAAAAATTAAATGTACATTTGTTGCAAAAATATATGTTTTATTAGCTTTATAATATTTTTTTTATTCTAGAAACATTAAATTTAAGTTTTGGAAATAAATGTTTTAAGAACTTTTGAATGTTCCAGTTTATATTTGTTTTTAAAATAAATTATCTTAAATTTCTCAAAAGTTGTGTTCTCTTTTATGTACGTGATGTATTTTTTTAAAATATATTTATTTAATTAAACATGAATTTAAAATTTTAGACAGGTACAACACCTTTGTTCTTTGCATCACAAGGAGGGTTTCTGGATATTGTTCAGTATTTGCTAGCTAGAGGAGCCCCTGTGGATTCATTAAGTGTGGTAAGTAGTTTCAATTTTATTATTTTACAAATTTAAAAAATATTTATATTATTATTAGATTATGAATTTTGAGAATATGATACAAATATCTAATCCAATATAAATCTAGGACGACACATCACAGAGAAACGCTGTTTGTCCGGTACGATAACTCCTAGCGCCACCTAGGATTATTTTTGATCAGTGCATGTGGATAAGAATTATCAATAATAATATTGTAAAGAATGTTGAGATTTTTTTTGATAACATGATTTATCTGGTATTTGACTCATTCTGTTCCTAATTTGTTTTACCAAATTTACCTTTATGAAATGTCTATGGTATGACATATTAGCAGCAGATGCGACGGTTGGGCCTGGGAAAATTTTGCCGACCGTGGGAAAAAGCGACATCCTTTGATGTGCCAACAGGTTCGTTACCACCTCACCTTTCCATCGATACCTTGCACGTTATTGTACGTTGAACCATTTAGACGTTACAAGCTTAGTGTCCTTTTGACAATACGCCACCATGTTTTTTTTCTATGTCTACGTATTCGTTACCCCCTCCTCTTTCCGACGATACCTCACACGTCACGATCGGACGAACCGTCGCGCCTCCACAACGAAATGAACCAAAAATGACCAGAATGGACCTTATCGATTTCTTATGGGAAATACGCTGAACTCTTGTTGCCCTTTTACTGAGAGGACTAACATAAATTGATGAGAGTTCAAGCATCAAAGATGATATATGAGTCAAATAACAGACTTACTCTTTAAAAAAAAGGGACAATTGTCTTGATTTGAGTACCGGATGTTAATAGAGGTCGATTAACTCCAAGAAATGTAGTATTTCTTGGTACAAGAATCACCTTCGTAGTTTCGCATTATATCCACAACGCGTTCTGGGCACGTCAAAAATATTCGATAGATTTTATATTACAATATAATGATTTTATGGCAATTACGTCGTTGTCAACAATATAATGCAGTTAATAAAAACTTGTTGTCTGAACTTTATACTGTGTTTACCCACTCGTAACGGAATCATTATCACTTAACAATTCTAACATTTACGTCAACTATCGGTTATTGTTGAAACTTTTATTTGTATTTGCATATTCAATTACTATTTATTAGGACATTTTACGCTAATATTATCTTTTATCTATTTATACACTGTTGTAATAAAGGAACTATTGAAAGTTGTTGTTATTTCAACCAAATTTACAGACGTCCGTCTGTAAATTATTTAAATTGAAATTGGCAAAAAGATTGGTCGATAATCAATACAGAATTACATTTTGACGAATAAGCGTTTTTTCATACGTACGGAGTGTCACAACTTTTGGTCGATAAAAGATTATGTAAATTGTGTGGTTATTTCTGTATAATATTAAAATGGATGAAACATACAATCGGGCTATGATGATTCTGATATAGATTTTTGTATTTGCATAGAACAATTACAACACTGATTTTTTTCGTATAAATGAAGTACTTTCTAAGTAATCGCGATTTTAAAAATAGACCTCAGATGATCAGGACCAAGGACAAATATGATCAGATGACGTCCAGGGCATACATATCAACAGTACGTTATTCTGCAGGCTTTCGAGATGTAATCGAAAAGAGTTTTTAAAATATTGAAGTACAGAAAATTAAAATACCTGAGATATAAATGACGAGTTCACAAAAATATTACGGATCATGATTGTCCAAGGTCTGACCAATTATTATTATTCTCAACCACTCTTGGCCATCTTTGGGTTCCAATTTTCTTCATATATTCTTCAACATCGTTTATCAGCGAAGAGTTCTACACAGTCTTCACTAATTCATCCCATGGTATTCCATACACGCGATCTTTGTATTTGATCCTGACTGTCTGTATCTCATTTATCACGTCAGATTCTCCATAAAATGTTTCCCCTGTTTAAGTAGCTGGTCTTTCTTGGAGCACTATAGGTCTTATTACTATTTTATAAACTTTTATTTTTGATGTCCTACAGGCTTTTATATACTTTTTTTAATGCTAAGAAACATAAATATATTTTCAGCTGCTATTCTTACCTTTATTTCCTCTTTCCCCTTTGTTTGATGGAACTGTTCGCGTATTTGTTACGCCGCCTACATAGCAGGGCCCACACATTAGACGTGAGTAGCAACTCGGAAGGAAAAACATAAACATACCAACCCGCCCGCTCATGATAATGAAACAATTAAGAGCGAAGGTTGCATTATAAATGCATCTAAACTTGAAAGAACATGAACAGAAATTTCCAAAAACGCGTTTCTTGTACTCAATTATTGGATATCCACGTTACCTACTGGTTGTCGTCTATAAGAAAAACAAGACTACGCTTACCTTGATACAAATTTATACTTTGTCTATGTTAGCAGGTACATATTGTCATGCTTTTTTTATCAAGCTTTAAGTATTGTATGAGTTCTTGTAAATCTTCTGAAACATTTTAACCCTTTGGAGGTCGCGGTCATAAAGTGTACTGTATAGGTCGCGGTGTATCTCAGATATACATTTGTTTAAGTTTAATGTTTCAATAAAATTGAAAAAAAAACTGATTGAGATCGAAAGAAACTTTTATTTTGAACATAACTTATAAAAAATAAGCGGTTTTAAATTAATTTATTGTCGACATAACAAAATAAAAACATGTAACAACTGTTGCAAATAATATTGCTATTCTCAAGACATAAAAATGTGGCAGAACATTTACAATAGTATTTGGACAAACGCGTCGTCTTTGTCACATAGCAAGAAGAACAACATTTTCTTTTATTGTCCGTTTTAGCAACATCTGAATCTGCCCCACTGGTTGAACTTTCCTTCTTATGTTTCTGATGCTGAAGCTGCAATGATCTGTGACTACCTGTAGTAATATCCGATCGCCGTTTTATTTGCTCTGACAATAACTGACTTGAAAGGTTTCGAATGAAGAGTCGTATTTTTGAATTCTGATTTAGCATGTGAATGGACTTGTGCGTTGATCCCAGCAACCTTCAAGACGACGTAAAATATCACCATACGAAACCTTCTGCTGTTTTTGGCTTCATTATACTATTCAACCATTTGGTCTACAGTGTCAACCCCTGATTTCGTCTGATTGTAATAATTGATTATTTCTGGCTTGTGCGTATACGTCATCGAAGTGCATATTAGATACTAAAATTACGTTTTTTTCCTTCTTTGGCACATGCGATACAAGAGTACAATCTTTACTAAAAGCCAAACAGTTAGACTGTATTGGTCTGTTTACCATACTTATTAATTCTGGTGGTAGTTGACCTTTGTTTCTTCTGACTGTCCCTACATATGATAGTCTGTTCTTTTTCAAATCACTGATGAAAGTTAAATCAGTGAACCAATTATCAGCAGTGATATTTCGTCCTTAATTATAGATAGGTTCAGCTAATCTCTTAACCGCATCTACTGGTTTATTGCTAACACGAAATGGATTTTCCAGATGCAGTCCTGCATAAATTTCCATATTGTCTGTGCAAAATAGCTTAGAATCATCAATGGAAAAAATTTTAATCCCATAATCCCAAGAGATAAATTCTTCTCTAAGAGATCTTTTTTTTGGGGTGAAAGAGTGTTAACATCCATATTTAATAAACGTAACACAAAATTAATATACTTACGCGTTAACTCTACAAACAATTTTTAGCACTGCCAACAAAATTCACCACCCAGCGGAAGTGAAACACAAATCATGATACATAAAACATTTAAGTTATAGTATCATGACACAAGTAATGACGGTGTAAACAGTTTCTCAGAAGGTCTAGTCATGACCGCCTGTCGATGCTTGCATTGTATTTTATTTCCGTAAAATGGCTTTTTCCCCACTTTGTTACTTTGTTTTTTCCTACAAAATAAGTAGATATACTACCTATGTCTGAGCGCACCCCTAAATTGCAACCCCTAAAATCGCAACCCCCGGTTGCAAATGCCAAACGGCTTAACGTAGGATGATGTACGAGGGCTCGTTGGAAAGGGGATGAAAAATGGGGTTGAACGCAGTATGTGCCGTGCGCATCGGAGCATGCCAAAAGGTCATTACGTCATATCTTTGTTTCTATTGGTTCGATCGGGGTGTACGAGGGCTCGTTGGAACGGGGAGAAGGCGGGAAGACAAAAAACAAAGATGGCGGCGTTGCCAAATGGACGTTAAAACGTATCTTCGTTGCAGGTATTTATTTTGGCAGTATTTAACATTGATTTATTATATGTGTAGCATTGTACCTCTGTAAAGCATATTTGACATTTATGAGTGGCTTTTCAATGGTTTTTTAATTTCAGCTATACCGTGACTAAGCATTGTCGTCGAACTTTAACTTTGATACTTATACAGGTTTTTTTCTTAATTGTTTTTAATCCTATATTTAACCTATTTTGTATGAGATGCTGTAGTGTCAGTTTAACTGGTACGGGTGGTTGGTGGGAATACCTATTTACCGAAGCACAATACCAACCTACAAAACAAAATATTTCCCGAACTGCCGTAGATAAAATATAGTATTCAACTCACCATTTGTATTCGCTAATTTTGTATATCACCCGAATTGTCATGAATATAATTATGAATAAGCCTCGATGTTCTGTTGGCGATAATAACTATGCAATTCATTCGAAGTGGAATAAAACGATTTTACGCTGGTATTTTCCTCGTGCCGCTGCATATGTGTCACTGAAGGCGTCTGAATGTCTCTATTATGACGCTCTGTTACCCTCTGTGTACCTCTGCTACCCTCTGTTATTGTGTCTTTGTCTTTTAAAATATCGAACGTCACGCCAAAACGTCACACGTCACGTAATTTATACATTTCACGTTCTGCGTCGAATGTCACGTCATTTCACGTTCTGTGTCGAATGTCACATAACTGTCACGTCCTGAGTCGAACGTCACGTCATTTCACGTGACATTTTACGTTCTGTGTTGAATGTCACATAACAGTCACGTCCTGCGTCGATTGTCACGTTATTCACGTGACATT